AGTAAAAATGGAAAGCATTTCAAAGCAGACCTAAGTTTGGTTTCATGGATTGGTCTGGAAGACAAATTAAGTTCAGTTTACATGCGTGCTTTACGGACAGGAAGGCAGGATATAAACCGAAATAACAATAATAACATTGTGATGTAAACAAATCTCTCTCTCTCATGCGACCTGTGGAGTTGAGCACAAGACATGACGTGCAGAAGAAGAAGTGCAGTAGAACAGGGTTGAAGAACTATGGCCCTTTTATGACTTGTGGACTTCAACTGGCCCAGGAATTCTGGGAGTTGAAGTCCACAAGTCATAAAACAGCCATAGTTCCCCAACTCTGATAGTAGAAGGACATTCAATACAAGAATAACCAGACTTGTCATCACTCTTATTATTCTAGACATCACCAAGAAAAGGACAAAAAGAAACATGAAAGTATCAAGAGTTTTGCATTGCTAATAACCGCTTTATGACTTTTTCCATTGACCAATGGTTGAAAGCTTGGCTAACGTTATTAAAGCCATGTTAGGGCATAATTGTTGTATTCACATAACGTTATGAGCAAAAATAAGCCATGTTATGGTTTACTCAGATGGTCTGGTTTACAGACTATGCTAACCGAACTGCTGGATCTCCCACAGCAAACTGAACCACAAACCATCCAATCCTATTTTGGGATAGTGGGCTATGTAAATCCTGCTAACCCAATAACTTAAACTGTAGTTTCCAAATAACTGAACAGATGGGGTTTTATCCGTGGAACATTTTTGAAGTAGAAAGGTGTTAAGGTTTTAGCTGGCCTAGAAAGTACAGTTTTATTGGGAAGTCCTCAGCCTCCTAGTTTCAAATATTTGGAGGTGAGCTATTTCTGCTCTTTGATCAGCAGGAGAAGAAATAGGAAGGGTGGAAATTGGTACATGCTCATCGTTTTACATGCTCCAGAAATGAATCTTAGACTAAATAGTAGATTTAAGTTCCAGTTATGTAGGAGAAGGAATGGCAGAACCTGGGGGTGGAGATAAAAGAGAAATCAGCCTAGAATCCCTACGTAGCCATAAGCAGACTAAGTTCACCACCACCCTTGAATTTTCTTGACCTTTATTTAACTCCAACAGGTGCTAACGTTAGATGAGGAGATTCTTGTGCATAGATTATGTGGCAATAAATCGACTTAAGGTATGGTTGAAGGTATGCCCTTTAGGCAATTATATTTTGGGCATACCTTCAACCAATGCTATAGTCCCGTGATGGCGAACCTATGGCATGCGTGCCACAGGTGGCACACGGAGCCATATCAGTAGGCATTGCCGTACGTCAGCTGCAGCGCGCATGCGCGCACCAGCCAACTGATTTTCAGGCCTTCCGAGGGCCCAGGAAGTCAGGAAACAAGCTGTTTCCAGTTGCCAGAGGGGCTCCCGGTGCGGGAGGCCATTTTCATCTGCCCCAGGCTCCTAGAAAGCCTCTGGAGCCTGGGAAGAGCGAAAAACGGGCTACCAGGCCCATCGTGCCGTCACGTACCAAAAGCGGGGGGAGCGTGGGGGGGTCACGCACACATGCACGGGGGGTGGGGTGCATTGAATTATGGATATGGGCACGCACGCACACAACCCCCCCGCACTCCCCCCGCTTTTGGCACATGATGGCAAAAAGGATAGCCATCACTGCTATAGTCAGATCTGTAGTTAAATAAGCCTTTGCTGGACACTGGCTGAGAATATATCTTCCTAAACCAGAGTCCCTTTGCCAATCCCTGCTATCTACTGACTTGCTGCTGTTCCTCCTAGTTGGAGCTAGATCACTGGAACTCTTTATGGGATGAAGAAAGTAGAGGAATAAAAGAAGGCCAGGCTCTTCCAAGAAAAGTATTTCTTATTACCCTATAAGTAGGAGGTGGTTCCTACTGGTCTCTGAGAGAAATGGAGGATAACACCAAGAACATCTTGTCCAAGCTTCCTTGGGGTGCAATTCAGCAAACAATGAATTTGTATGTGCATCCTTGATTTGCAAACTGATTAAATCCCCAAATCAATTAAAAGCAACAGAGATGTCACGTCCAGCTTCTCAACACTGTCCCTTCATGCATACATACAAATATAGCCTTGGTACAATACATACAAATAGAACCTTGGTGGTACAGTGGTTTAAAGCACCCTGTTATTAAGAACAGCTGCCTGGAATTACTGCAGGTTCGAATCTCGCCAGGCTCAAGGTTGACTCAGCCTTCCATCCTTTCTAAGGTAGGTAAATTGAGGACCCAGTTGTGGGGGCAATAAGCTGACTTTGTATAAATATACAAAAGTATGAAGGCTATTGCTTAGCGCATTGTAAGCCGCCCTGAGTCTCCGGAGAAGGGCGGCATATAAATCAAATTAAAAAAAAAAAAAATACCTGGCTAGCAAATGATTTGAACTCTACAACAATTTGAGAAAAGCAAATATTTACCTCCTTCCAGCAGTGGCTTCTACCTCTGGCACACCATCTCAGTTTTGGAGCCTACGCTGCTTGTCCCATATGCTGCTCTCATCTGTTTCTTAAGATAGTTTCAAGTTTCAGTTTCCAGTCCAGATTGCAGTGGATTGGCAACAGGACTAGGTTGGTGCTTCATCTGGATTACGGCCATCGTAAGACTTGTGCAGTTGTTCCCAGATTGTGCCCTTCCCATCCTCACTGGCTGGTTCTTGTGTGGACCAGCCTACTAGTGTATGCCTTTTCCTTTTAGGGGCTACTACTCATGTGCATCTTAAATCTTGCCAGGCTCAAGGTTGACTCAGCCTTCCATCCTTTCTAAGGTAGGTAAATTGAGGATCCAGTTGTGGGGGCAATAAGCTGACTTTGTATAAATATACAAAAGGATGAAGGCTATTGCTTAGCGCATTGTAAGCCGCCCTGAGTCTCCAGAGAAGGGCGGCATATAAATCAAATTAAAAAAAAAATGCCACACATATAAGTGCCTTCATTTCTCGTCCCACCGTATCTGCCTTGTCACTAATGTGGATCCTTCTTAGTTTTTCTTTTTCTTTTCCCTTTATGGCGCCACCATCACCGTGATGCTAGAAACAACCGAAGAAACAGGGAATATACATTGTTCTTTCGTCCCTACGTTCCTCTGTAAACCTATGAAAACTCTGCAGCAAAGAAGAACCGATCCTTCCATTTCATGGAAATAAAATAGCAGCTTTCTTACGGGGCAACCTAAAGATGTTATTTAAAAAATTAAAAAAGGCTTTGCAGGAGGAGAGAAAGCAAGAGAAACATCCTTCGCTCAATCTGGGCAGAAAGTGAAAGTAGATCATATAAGTGTGGAAAAAGAGTATGAGCTTCTACGGTTGAGGATAGCTCGTTGATTTAGATATTCGTTGACTCAACCACAAGATTACCCCGTTTCCCCGAACATAGGACCCAACCAGAAAACAATACCAAGAGCCCTGGTAGCGCAGCCGACCAAAGCACTGTTATTAATATCAGCTGCCTGCAATTACTGCAAGTTCAAATCTCACCAGGCTCAGCCTTCCATCCTTTTTAAGATAGGTAAAATGAGGACCCAGACTGTGGGGGCAATAAGCTGACTTTGTATATATATACAAAAGTATGAAGGCTATTGCTTAACGCATTGTAAGCCGCCCTGAGTCTCCGGAGAAGGGCGGCATATAAATCAAACCAAAAAAAATAAAATAAAAAAAAATTCCTAGCATGATTTTTCAGGATGCTCGTAATATAAGCCCTACCCCTCAAAATAAGCCCATTAAGATTGTCAGCCAGATGGATGCATTTAGTACCGTATTTCCCCCCAAAATAAGACCTAACCAGAAAATAAGGCCTAATGCGTCTTTTGGAGCAAAAATTAATATAAGACCCGGTCTTATTTTTGGGGAAACACAGTATTTGGGGGGGAAACTGCCAACCAGTACAGAATATACAGTAATCCAGGGCAATGACTAGTCACAGATGGGGAGAGGGGCTCTCAGGCACTGCAGTGGATCAGAGCTTGAGCTCCTACCAGATCAGAATGAAGCACTAGAATTGAAGCCACTATCGTGGCTGGGTCAACCATTTTGAATAAAAACTGGTGGGGGTGCATTTGCGGTGGGCTGGGAATGGAGGAAGATGCCATCCATCCCTGCACTTAGCAAGTGGCAAGTGGCCCATACCAGCCATGGGTCAAGCAGAAGATGCAGATCTGCTCTCATTTCTAGACAAGTAGCCAATTTCTCCAAGGGAACAACAGTAACTGTTTGCAAAAGTCCCCCAGGGACACCTCCGTTGATTTTGGGGCTGCCCCATGATCCCTACACCGGCAGTATGTTGGGGGAAAGTTCTGAATGAAGGAGAAAGGGTTAAACAGCTCCTTTACCTAGATTCTTGCATAGGGGAAATGCATCTGAGATACATCATCAAACAGATATCCACAAGACTGGCGGCTTCCCTGAGAATCTCTGCTGGTTTGTCTTTGTCCTACATCTAATCTGCTGGACCCCAATGTTGAACTCCTTCAAATAAAAAAAAACACCAGCCAAACAAGCAATGCTTGGTTCTATGGGACTAAATCTGAGAGACTTCACTAAAATCAGGCATTGTCCGCATTAATAATTAATAAACAATATTTACTGATGAATAATCGACTATTAGAACACATTAAAAGCCTATCAAGCATCCTATCACAGGCTGTCCAAGACAATCACGTCTACATAATAGTGGTTAGACACATTGAACTGGGCTATTACCACTCCTCCTGCTCCTCTTCTAATAAAACCAATAAACACCAAACAAGTTTCATATCTGCCTCCTGTCGTCTCTTCCAGTTCAGAAATTCTCTCCGGAGGCACAACTCAGGCCACACAGAATTTGCAGAAAGCCTTCACAGAGAGGAACCTTTAATGTTTTTTTCGCAAACATCTGGACCACGCATTGATTTGCACCCCGATTATTAAGCGGATGAAGTTTCAAAGTCAATGTTTTAAAAAATATATATTAAAAATCAGGCACCGTCAATGTTCTCAAATATTACCCACCTCTCTGTTTCCAGGCGCATTTCCTCCCGTTTTTGTCTCCTAAGTTCTCTGCGACGTTCAAAGTCGTCCATGATATATATTCAAGTTCAGATAAATCCCCCAAATCAGACTGAATTTGAGAAAGAAAGAGAAAGAAGGGGTGGGAAAATCAGAACTAGGCATGGAAATGAAGCCTCTCATTGACAGAATCATACCCAAGTATAGTCATGTTCACATTCCCAGTTAGAAAGATTCTCCAGAATCACCAAACAGTTTATTAAATGTTTTAGCAAGTTTCCCTTTGGGAGTCCGCTTCCTTGCTGGAAATTAAAACAAAGCTGTAACATTTTACGTTTGATAAAAGAAGCAGATGGGGTACGTCTTAAAAGAAGTATTTATGCTTCCTGGCGTCTTCCTCCCTCTATACGTGTTTAGCAAAATAATAATGACAATTTTCAGCGAGATGTGCAAATTTGCCACTAATGATAAACTGGAAGCACAAAGGAGGTTATTTCACTGTAGCCTCAGGTTTGCACTATGGCAGATGTGCAACAGTCAGAAAAGAATTTGTAACGGTCAAACACAGTTTTCCAACAGCAAAATATTATCTTCCACTTCAAGGCTACTTTCTTTGCTAAGCACAAAGCTGAAAGCATGCGTTTTGGAAAGGTTAAAAATGGAAATTCTGCCGTCGGTAGGAATAAAAGAGGCAAATGGTTAAAATACACACACACACACACACACACACACACACCTTTAAAATGTTGCTCTAAATCCTCCTTAAAAAAAAATTAAAGCCAACATTTAAGATGCAGGGAGGGGTGGGGGGGGGAAAGAAAGAATTGGACAAATCGAAGCATCTGCAATTTAAATCTGCACCTACCTTCTTCTTGTTAGGTTTACTCCATAAAATATTTGCCCCTTTATAGCTCCTTCATGCGCAAAAGCCTTTCAGGCTTTGGTTTATTTCCTATCGAGACAAATATAGGAGAATTCTCCTGCAGGCCCACCAAGTAAAAAAATGACTACCAGAAAAGGGAAAGCTGTTCTCTTTTTGTCCCGGCTTTGTTTACAGAGCTGTCAGTGGTTAGTTAAACTCTGCCTGGAATCTAGCATTTAAGGCCTGCTCCGGGACCCGTTTCCTGTGTTGAGCTGGAGGCCCTCAACTTCCTTTGGAATTCTAGCCTAGACTCTGCGCTCAGGGTTTCTTTTTCTTTCTTCCTTCTTCTTCTTCTTCTTTTTTTTTTTAAAGTAACTTTCCCCTCCTCCTTTCAAAATTTCCAAGTTTTTTTATAGCAGTCCAAATCCAGGCATTTTTACAGTGAATTTAGAATGAGCAAACATGAGACGAATGTACACTTGCTAGTCTAAAGAAGCAAAAAGAATTCTGTGTTAGTGAATGCTTGTTTGCTGATTATTAAGAGAGATGTGTGTGTGACTGTCAGTGTGTGTGTGTGTGTCGTCTGTGGTACAGGTAGTCCTACACTTACAAACCATTCATTTAGTGATCGAAGTTACAATGGCACTGAAATATGACTGCTTTTCACATGATCGTTGTAGCATCCTCATGGTTGCGTGTACAAAATTCAGACCCTTGACAACTGGCGTGTATTTATGACGGTTGCGGTGTCCCCGGGGGGGGTGTCATGTGATGACCTTTTGTATCCTGACGAACAAAATCAACGGAAAAGCCAGACGCACTCAACAACCGTGTTACTAACGTAACAACGGCAGTGATTCACTTAGCAACTGGGGCAAGAACGGTCGTAAAATGGGGGCAAAACTCACTCAACAACTATCTCGCTTAGCAACAGAAATGTTGGGCTCAGTTGTGGTCGTAAGTCGAGGGTTTCCTGTACAACACAGCTTTGGGTGTTGGAGTGCCCACCTTTATGTGACATACTCTCCAGACACATCCTTAAGTGAAGTTATCACCACCATTACATATTTTACGGAAGTCCCTCAAGACCTCGCTATGTTATCAGGCCTGCAGATGCTCAGAGAAACTGAGGTGGCTTCATCTATATACCGGTATATAAAAGCGAAAACCACTCACGCCGTAACCATGAAATCTCCAGAACCGTAAAGCCTACAAACTTGAAATTTGCCACGTATGTTCCTATTGGCTTCTAGGTGCTCACTAAGAAAGGGTTTTTCGAAATGACCATCAGAGCATTAGTATTGCCTATATTATGATTAACATGCTCTGATGCTAAGGAGTTCTACTCCACCTCCCTACCTGAAAAGAAATCTGTTCCAAATGCAAAACACAAGCAGAGGAGAGGAGTTTCACTTTCAGTTTTACTTTCACAGCAGCAACCAGGGGATACGATAGGGGAGGCTTCTGTGGGGCAAGGCTGAGGGAGAGAAGGGGATAGGATATGGGAGGCTTCTGTGGGGCAAGGCTGAGGGAGAGAAGGGGATAGGATAGGAGAGGCCTCTGTGTGGCCAGCCTGAGAGAGAGAAGGGGATAGGATAGAGGAGCTTTCTGTGGAGCAAGCCTGAGGGAGAGAAGGGGATAGGATAGGAGCAGTGGTGGTATTCAGAAAGTTCGCACCACTTCAGGAGAACTGATTGTTAACTTTCTGAGCAGTTTGGCAAACTGGTTGTTGGAAGAAATCATTAGGGCAGAGAACCGGTTGTTAAATTACTTGAATCCCACCACTGGATAGGAGACATTTCTTTCAGGCAAGGCTGAGGGAGAGAAGGAGAGAGGAGTGGCCGATCATAACTACTCATTAATTTCCAATCTATAAGTGTCAGTTTATCAAGCCCAATCACATAGTTTCATAGCGAAGCACGGGTATTCAGCTAGTTATTAATATTAAATCTCCTGTATGCCTGTATGATGTTTTAAAAAGCTTTTTAATAATGATAGTTTTTTAACATACATTTATTGTTTGTATCTTGTTATAAGGTGCCTATTTTTGTGAGATGGGCAGACATATAAATTTAATAAATAAAATCTATCTTTTAGGGTCTATTTTCATTACAAAGAAATGATATCAACCCACAGGGGCAGTGGTAGGATTCAACCGGTGTAACAACCAGTTCACTGAACTGTCTGAACTGGTACGAACCGGTAGAATCCCACCCCTGCACAGGGGGTGGTACAAGGAGTAATCCAGCCCTTTGGGTCGATGCAAGAATGTCCTCCTATTGCAGATCTTCAACGCAACAACCACTGCTTAGCAATGCACCCCAAAATTGTAGGACAAGTAGCAATAGTAATAAGACAAATAAGTAATGCTTCTTAGTTAACATTAGTAATAAAAAATACATGCTGTCATTCCGAAAAGTTTCCTATAAGGCATTTACATGATGTCACCTCAATCATACATTTATTTCTATTTTGTTACAACCCCAACTGTGTCTCTGGTAAAATCCAAATGGTCAGATGGAGACCCTATCCTTTTGTTGGAAGAAATATCCATCTGGTTCAGTTCCAAGCCGGAAGATAGGCACTGGAGACAAAATGGAGGCTGGAGGCTGATTACAAAGAGGGCTTAATGGTGAAGTAGAACCACCAAGCATATGGTTCTGGGCAGCTGACCACATGGAGTTGAGAGTGGGGGAGATTTATACCTTCTCTTGGGCTTTGCACTTGAACTTCCTATTCCTGTGCAACAACATGTATTCTATTAGCTGTTGTCAGACTCCCATAGGGCCATGTACAAATCCTAGGAGTTTGTCTGAGTTTAAGTTTGGTTGAAGTTTGGCTGATGCAATGAAGGGGCTTGTTGGGCAATTCCTATTGTGGCTGAAGCCTAACCCTACCTTTGTTCGGAGCCAGATCTTGCTGCAGGGAGTAATGGATTACCAAATCTGCATTTCTAAAAGCTGGGCTTAGTTTAGTATCTGCTTGGGGGCAGGGAACTGGGGCTCTGAGTTTCTGTCTCCCTTAAAAAAATATATTTCTCTTTTAGGGGAAATATTTTATCCTGCCTTTTTAAAATTTTTCTCAAAATATTTCATTCTTCTAGGAGGAGGGTAGTTTCCCACACTTTGAAAAAGCTTTCATTCATCAATTACCATGCTATATCAAACACGGTTCTATTGTATCGAATTGGTGATACGAAATAGGTAGTCTTAACTATTAAGATTGTTTAGGATCTCTGACAATTCCAGCTTGACATTGCATTTTGCCATGGAATATTTTTTAGAATTAGGTTGGTTGGTTTTGGTAGAGCTTCTCAATGTCATCATGTACAAAATATAGCAATTGATCACTTTAAAGGCTGAATTGTTCTCCCCCACACCCCATTAGAAACTCACAGTGCTGTGGCATTTTGGTCATGGAACAAAAATGTTCAGTCTTTAGTGCGTTCCCTGTATTGTTTCCACAGTGCCTAATTCCTGGCTGTGCTGTATCTACTATGCCCCACAGTAGGTTGACTCCAGTGGAAGTCACAGGTCATTGGGCTATTTTCTGGGGGTTTTTTTTACTGCCAGCTAAGCCCACCTATGGGGCCTGTTCAAGCACAGACTCTTGATGTAGCACTGGTCTTTAGCCCCATGTATACTGTACATATGTGGGAAGAAATATCCATCTGGTTCAGTTCCAAGCTGGGAGAAAGACACTGGAAACATGGCGGCTGATTGGAAAGATGGTTTATTGATGGTTTATTGTGATTCTGGGCAGCTGACAAAATGGAGTTGAGAATGGGTGAGTTTTTATATCTTCTATATGGGCTTTCTATTTGAGCTTCCTGTGCAAGAACAAGTCCTTTAATTTTCTATTGGCTGTTGTCAGATTCCTATGGGGTCATGTAGGGTTTGTGTAGGGGTCATAGCTGGCTCTATAGGTAAAACAGGAAATGCAAATCCTAGGTCCGTGATGGCGAACCTATGGCATGCGTGCCACAGATAGCACGCATAGCCATATCAGTGGGCACACAAACTCAGCTCTGGCACGTGCATGATTTTCGGGCCTTTTTGGGCCCACTGGAAGTAGGGAAACAGGCTGTTTCCTGCCTCCGGAGGGCCTCAGGTGGTGGTGGGAAGCCGTTTTTGCTGGCAGAGCACTCGGGCCACCACAGGCACCTCAACATGAGTGACGTCAAGCTGGCCACGCCCACCCCATCCACGCTCCCCACCCCCCGAGGTCAAACACAACCCTGAGGCAGCCCT